TTCTGGTGGAACCGACCTTCGAATCTCTTCACCAAACACTTTCACTCGAAATGGAAGTAAGCTCAACAATATGATAAATAATTAAACCAAGACCCACAAAATGAGGACCCACACACACACACAGAGTAGTATTGAATTAAAGAGAAAACTTGAATCGAGTGTATGATGAAAGACTCAGAAATATCGCTAATCAGTAGTAGATGGTTTTGCAGTTATCTAAAACACTAAAAAAACTCTGCCCATTCAGCGAATTATCAATCAAGAGAACAACTTGCATTTTTATCGGAGGCGCCACTTGTGCGGGAATGGATGCAGCTTACCAAATGAGGAGGACGATGAGCTGTTCGCGTGGAGAAATATTCTAACTTAGTTGCGCGATACCTACAGATGTGGAAGCACAGCTGAGAGTTAACGAGACCCGAGAGGTTGGAGAAGGAGTCCTCTTGGACAAAGGGTCTTTGGTAGACAAGACGTAGTCCGAGGTTATTTGCAAGAGTAGAAATCATCAGCAGCTTGAGTAAAATAGACACTTACGGATCCAATTTAAGCAAAATTAGGTCATTTTCGATGTTGGGTAGTTGCATATTTGAACAAGATATTTGGGCTTATCTTAAATCATCGCAATTTTATTAGTTCACATCGGCTACTGGTCCGGATGGAAATAAGTGTTGTGGCTCGACGAACGAGAAGTATCATACTTCAACACCGACTTTCATAGAATTCCTGCCTCATTAAGACACTTCATCTGAACCATTCCAGCCGCTGGTTGTTCCTGTCGAGTTGACAAGTCGCATACTTGTCTGTCGCAAAATGCTGTCACTTCGACGGCCCAACACAACCCACTTTTGGGTAGTTGTCCGTCATTTAAGTCGCATGATCGAGGAGAGAAGTGAGAACCTGCAGCGTCTGCGCACTTAAGTGAAGCCATTAAATCCGTATACGTCTCCGGGCCTAGGCACCAAATGGACGAGACGAGAACGGGAGACAAAGTCAAGTTGGCGAGAGCATTTTGCGAAATAAAAGGGATCATTTACAAACAAAACAGGTGTCCACGACCAACCATTCAGGCCAGCACATAAATAACAGAATGGGCTCGTAGAGCGACTGGCTGGAATCTGTCCACGGGCCCAGGCTCGCGGTAGTTCCACCTCTCGGGCTCTCAAATCGAGGCGCACTTCAGGTCCACTTGCCTCGTGAGGAAAGATAATCCATCCGAGGATGGAGCCTTACCAAGACATTTAACACGGCATGTACAAGTATCCCAACTTGATGTCGGAAAATCCTTCAAACGATAGACAATGGACGGTGTGCAGAAAAGGTCTGCAGCCGGGGCTATGCCAGAGAAGCCGAGCTCAGGTCGGATGTCTTCTCGCTGCATGCATATCACGACCGAATAGAATGTACATGAACCAACAGTAAAGACGTGCAAGATATCTGCAAATAGAAACTAGATGAACATTCACGAGGCTATACTGCCAGGCAAACTTACACCGAGCCCATAACCTATTCAGCGCAACTTGCAGTAGACCGGACAGAAAAGTACGGAAACTCCCACATTTCAACCATAAAGTTGGTGATAATTGGACATTGAGAGGAGTAAGTGAGACAAACGTGAGGCTGAAATGCGGGCATGTATTGGATGTATATTTGTGTGCATTAAAAAGTAAATTAAGCGATGAACTGCCGATTTTACTTTCGTCACCAGAGCAGTTATTCTGATGGGCACG